CTCCCTGACACCTTTTTCCCGCAATTACATTCGTTTGCATACGTCGCCACGTCGAAGCGTCGTGCCACCTTTTGTCGCTGCAAATAAAGTAACGTACGTGCGCTCACGTTGATGTGTTACAGATGCTACCGAAGCCGCAGTGCTGCTGAGGCCACGTCTGAGTAAATAACATGTGAGTATCGTCTCGTCGTCATTGGACACCTCTTCCCATCGCTCCTTGCAACCGATCGTCTCTCTCTTCCTCGTGCATTCGACCTCCTTTCTCTCTTTCTCTCTGTCATATTTCTCATCGGCGAGTAAATCAAAATTCCCGAAGATGCAGAAGACGTTCTGGGGACGTTGCTGAGTTCTTGCTGGCTTCTTCCTGAGACGCCCAACGGGTCAGCCCGGCTGACTGCTGCAGCTTCTAGCCACTTTTTTATGTCTCACCTGCTTAACGTTCATCAAGCATTACGTGTGTTTGCGAATTAACGGGGAACCTGGAGATGCTTTGCTTTTGATAATCGTTAGCTGCAGGGAAATATTGATTTTCATTATTGCCTGGGACTGGGCCTATTTACTTGACTTGCTAATGCTTCCCGTCGCAGGAGCTACCGCGCGGACTCTCCGTGTGGTTTCGATTAATCGACACGATAACGCGGCTAGTGTGACCTGAACTCGCATCTAAAACCGTAGCAGGATAAGATCTGAAACGCGATACTTCCTACCAGCCGCCTTTTCTTGGGTTGTCGAACGCGATGCCGAACTGTCGATAAGTTCGGCTTAAATTCGGATTCCCGTGACTCTCGGTAAGCTTCTTGCAACCGGATTGGTCATCGCGAATCGTCCTGCACTAAGGACCAGTCAAACGATACGTGGACTCGGCGATTCGATTCATCATTCGGTCCGTCTAGTCGTTGAAAATACTTGGAACAGCCGCTTCTCGATCTGAAAATTCTGCACTGCATTTCCAAGAGATGCATCATTTATGAATTGCATCTGCTCTCTATGCTGCTGATTCTTCGTGTTAAGGCAGAGTCACTTTCGCGCGAAACTGTGTCTGCTTGACAAGTATTCATTTGCCATGGGTAAGGATGCGCATAGATAATCGTAGAGTCGCCAGACTGGCCAGTAAATCGGTATCCGGTCTGTGCGAGCGAATACGTAAGTGGGACGAATAATCGAAGCGTGGAAAGACGATGGGAATGAAGAAAGAGACGAGAAAAAAACGTGAACAGCGCGCGAGTAGCTGGTAGCGATTGTCGAATGTCGAGTGTGTGCTGGAATATGTTAATAGGCGAATGAAATCGATTGGGTCAATATTTGCCACTTGTCTACGAGCGAGGGAGATGGCGACAGTTTTTTTATAGCAGATTATTATTATCGTGCAAAAGTAGATTAAAAAGGTTTTCTATGCATTATATGAATTTTTTCTTTTCTCGCTTCTTTATCTTTTTCTTTTTTCTCAAATTCTGTGTATCTCACCACACCGCGTGGCATGATCGTGATCATGATCATTTAATGTGTCAGGGTCTTTTTACTGGGTCTTTTTTACTCTGGCATTTCCCATTGACGTCACGCGCGCGACGCTACGAACATTTGCTATGCAAGATAGTGCAAATAGTATGCCTAAAATTATTCGCTGTGTATATACTATATGTATATATACAATATATGTATACAGGATTGTTCGTTTCAGACGCAAAAGTTGCTGTCGCTTTGATAAATCGTCATAATACGATAGCTGTTAAAATCCAACGGGTTAGCCTCACCTTTGAATTGAATACTTTTCGTTTCTAGTGTCTTAAATCTGCAATGGGAACACATGCTTATCACAGTTGGAGGTCTGGTGATAAATGAGATACAAGTGGCGGCTTTGTTATCACCTTATCAGTTATTTATAAGAAGTTGTCGTGCGTTCTTTATGGAATTTAATTAAATATTTGATTAATTGCTACATAAAATTTTACGTTGGGGAGCAATTGTAAGATTCGTTAGAGTTGTCTAATCATTTATCGCTTAATCGTTTCAAGATGATTAAAGAATTGAAATATTCACATTTTTATTTGTTACCGAATCAACGCAGGTTAGCCAAGGCGAAAATGCGGACAGTCCTGTTTCTTCTGACAGTCCTGATCCTGACGCTGTCAGGACGTGCATACGGATTGTGCATTTTGGAAAATGCAACGTTCGCTCACTGCACTGATCTGGAGGATGCGAGATACATTAATACCTACGACCTGGAGAAGCTCAAGGCATCGGTGCATACGAAGATGCTGGATCATCGATCATTCGAGAACTTCACTAGCCTTAGGAAATTGGACCTTTCTGAAGGAAACATAGAAAATATCGAGTTTGGGACATTCCGGAAGCTGAGTCACTTGGAAAATTTGAACTTGGCTGGTAACCGTATCGCCCAATTGAAACTGACGGTATTCGAGGGCTTGCAGAACCTGCAGACTTTGGATCTCAGGCGGAACTCCATAAAGCAATTATCGCCAGCTCTGATAAAGCTGAAAAATCTGAAGATCCTGGACCTATCAGGCAATCCTCTGGATTGCAACTGCGCCACGATCAAGGTTCGTGATCTTCTTGTGGCAAACGGTGTCAGAATGTCCAAGAAGATCCTCTGCGCCAGTCCGCCAATACTTAAGGGTGCTTCCCTGATGAAGCCTAATGCTGGGGTTTCCTGCATGTTCGAAGAGCAAGACAAAGAAATGCAGGCTGATGAACCCGTCGATATCGAAGGATCCGGTGATCTTGGTTCCGGAGATGCTTTTGAAGAACTGGACCAAAACTTAGATGAAGACGAGGATCTTTTCGATGAAGAAGTAGAACCACCTTCGCCTCCGACAACAGAGGCGGAAACACCTGTGCCAAACGTTCCTTCGACTGCGGCTAGTCAGGCGTCATCTGCAGCTGCACCCGTTCTCTTGTCCCTTGGATTAGTACCTCAAGACAATACTACCGAATCACCAGTATCAAATAGTCCAGCTTCATCGGAAACTACTTTCGAACGGGACGATAGTCTCTTCTTTGAAACCGAGGATGTAACTGAAGAAGAGCCTCCATCAACTACAGAACCTACCGAAAAGAAAGACGAGCTTAGTGATGACCTTTTGATTCCTGTCTACGTAGAACAGGTATCGTCTGTACTGTCCTCGACTCCAAAGTCTAGTGAGAAGACACACAAGTTTACGGACGAGCTGATTATTCCTGTAGAAGGTTCAGGAACGGAAGATATTGGTTCGGGTGCCGAAGGATCAGGTTCAGACTTTCCTCTGACCGATTGGACTCATTCAGGCAGTGAAGTTAGTCGGGAATTCGGGAGACCAGAATCATCTACCGTGGAATCAGTCGTTGTTGAATCTTCAACTACAGAGAATCCCGATACGAGTACCTCAGACAACAGTGGAAATCCGTTCGACATTATTCTTGGCCTTTTTTGGAGCCCCACGGACGCTCCGGAAGAGAAGAAGGAGGTTGCATTGGAGGAGGAAGAGTTCATCGACGTCTCCTCCGAGAGTAGCCTAGGACCTAGTGGAACACCTGCTGAGGAAGAAATCCTGCCCCCTATGGCGGCAGTTCCAGTGGAACCATCGATATCTGCAGAAAACAACGAACCATCAGACATAGAGCCTATAGTTCCCCTAATCTCGCGCATGGGAATTATTCCTGAGTCGAGTGATAAGGAGTCTTCATCAGGTTCCAATACTGCTGGGAACGTGGGTTCCGACAAGGTCGACGCTAGCGCTGGTACCAATGAAGAAATGGCCGACGTCTCTCCAACTCGTCAAGCCAAGAAAGGAACGGGGTCATACGTAGTTTTGGCTGCTCTCTTGGCAATCTTGGCAGCACTCATTGGTTTCGCAGCATACAAGGGCGACTTCTGTAGGAAGAAGAGGAAACGCAGAGACGTAGAGAATGGCCGAGAACTTCAAGACATGCAGAAATCACTTTTGGATGGCAGCAATGCCAACCGACCAAAGATATCATCCAATGGAAATGCAGAAAACGCACCACTGGTAGGGTCACAAGGTCAGCACTGGAGTGAACAAAGGGACTTGCGACCTTGGCAGGACCACCAGGAGCCAGCAGTCGTCGATCCAAAATCCAAGTATGAAGAAGCCGTGCAGGATGCTGTTGATCCTGTGAAACCGCCAAGAAAATCCTTGACAAGTCCAGAGGAAGCTAGAACTGAAACAAAGGACATACCCTCGGACTCGCCAATTGAGTACAGAGCAGGTGGGGTTGCGATAATAAGAAACCCTCCACAGCCAGTATTGGCACCCCTGCATAGATCACCAAGTCCCATCCACGCGTCCAATGGACCACCCTTGAGTCCTGGTGCGGAAAGAGTCAAGATTTTAATGCAGGAGAACCCGGACAGCATACCCAAGACGCCCATTCTCATAACGAGAACAAAGGCCGGAGAGAACCTAGTCAAAGCACCCTAGAAACCGCAATTTCCATATCGAGAAAAATTGAGAGAAGATGCAAATCTTATATGAACTCGTGTTTCTAAGCGTAAGAAAACACTTTAAAGCGCCAAGATCAAGTCTACCGGAGGCGTAGGCCCAATTTGGGGACCTATGCCTTGTATTCCTAGGGCATCAAAGGCCCCGTAAGACAGGATTATTCATCGTGGAAAAAAGGCATCCCCATCATCGAGACTCGCCCTTTCCTCGCGCTTCTTTCTTCCTGCTTCCTCAAGCCTCCCCCGATAAAATTAGTTCGCGGAACCCGAGACCCAAAGTGGGTCGATGATTCGAGGTCGAGAGTGTACATAAAAATTATCTTAGGCTTTTCGTGCGACGAAGACTAGTCAGTTCTCTTTTAACCCCGTACTGACCTACGTTGCGTTGACCCCTTTGCCTGAATTCTTGGGTGTTCGTGAAAACTGGAGCACGTGGTCTCCCAATTGAAACTCCAATCGTAACGTTTATTTTTTTCCCCAACTGCCATTGGAGACATTCGTAATTTAGATTTCTGCGAGGATGATCCTCGCGCAACAGGAACATTCCATGAACAATCGATGCGTCACAAACAATTGACTGTAAATCCCATAAACGCAAGTGACCTGGCTTTCCGAACACCCTAACTTTACTATAATATAGATATACACTAGTAAGGACTCGTCAACATGAATTAACGCGTAAACGGAATAGAATTACGTATATATGCATATCATATACATACGTATGTATAAGTCATTATAAATATTTAATCACTAAAAGCTAATATAAAACGGACACACGGATGAAGTAAGGACCGTGAATGGACGAACGGCGATTGGATCTTCCTTTAGCAGAGACCGATGCATCGTTGTTCAAAGGCTCAAAGGCTCAACGTGTCCCGATTAATATCCTTCCATTCAGGATGTGTTCAGGTTCGCGATGGGTGAAAGAATTTGACGTTAATCATTATTTATTTCGTTAAATATGTAAACGAGTTCTTTGTTACTCGTCCCAAGCATTTAGTTAGTATATAATGCGATATTTGTTTTCGTTTAAGATATTAGCATATAATGAAAATTGATATAGATTATACAATTGCTTAGTCGGCAGTACCACGGTTAGGATCTTTGCATATTATGTATACATACGTACGTCTGTTAAGCCAAATGAATTGAAATGTATGTGTCTATAATTTAGCATATAAGCGAGTGAGACTATAGGTAGCGATGCAGCTCGGTGCATTTAGCATTAAAATGCACCCGTTAATAAAAACGATGTACGAAGGTAACCAAAGGAGGTGGAAGTCCTTACGATAAGGAAAAAAAAAAAAAAAAAAAAAAAAAAAAAAAAAAAAAAAAAAAAAAAAAAAAAAAAAAAAAGGAAAAATATTGATAAATGTCATTTATATTTCTTTTCCGTTTAATTCGCATCCTCTAATGCGCATTCAGCCATGGGTACATGACTATGTTGTTCGAGCATAAATATACTATCGGCTACGAGGTTGTTCAGTTATGCAACTCCAATATAACTCGCAACGTCTTTTATTTATACTTTCAGTCTTGAATAAATAGCAAATGCATTATCGTAGTAGCGTTGCACCGGTGCATCAGGTGCATCGGATGCAGTTGGCTGGAAACAGCGTTACGCGAAGCGACGAATTAAAATCCGATTTCACTGCGGTTGACGAACTTTATGTGGATTGACGCTCTTATCAGGAGAGCCTTATCGTCCTGATAACAGGAGAAGACAAAATGAAAGGTACGTGATATCGTTTTAAGGTACTTACACACAAATATTTTCTAACTATTCTAAGAGTACAATGAAATGTTTCGGTTGAACGTTAACGGCAATGATTATCCCAGCGACCGAAAGAATCAAAAGTCACTTTCCTGAGGTGACGGTCTGCGGCCGCTTCTTGGTTCTCGCGTTAATTTCTTAATGATTATCGAACTGTTCGATTTGTTATTGAGTCTCGTGGATAATTGATCGAGTTCCGAATCCTCGTCATCGGTGGAATGCCCATTCCGCGCCATCGCCCTACGTTTCTTCTTACGTGCCGATGGGGTTTGAGGTCTGGGCTTGATTTTCGTTCGGTCACCATCCTCGCAGATGCTTCGAGCCCTAGATCTGGTCCTCTCTGTTTCTTTTATGGCAATCTCTGCATTGGACTCCGTTAATTGGCTGGATTCCTCCAATTGGTTGGTCTCGCTCAGCACACTCGTCGAGTTGTTTCGTTCAAGACTCAAACGACGCCGGCGTCTCTCCTCACGACGCTCCTCGCGTCGCGCTAGGTTGTCTTCGCTCTGGGAACGCTTCCTCGCTCTTCTGGGACGCCGCTTCTTCGATCTGAGGTTGTCCACGGACCCTATGGCCTGTATGGACATATTGTCCATGGACATCGTATCCAGAGCCTCCATGGAATGTGCCAGCCGGGGCATGTCAACAGCCTCGTCGTAGGTCGGCGGCTGGATCAGTTCCAATGGATGGATCCTGGGCTCCGCAGTCTGCTCCAGCAACTCCTCCTCCAGTCTTTGGTTTCTGGATGGAGCATGGGAAATTATCGTGGCGTCGTACGGATCAGAAGATCAAAACAATTCGTAGACTTGGACCTACCGTCTTTGCAGCAATCGGAGTCTCTCGCGAGCTTCTGCTCTCTCGAGCTCCTGCCTTTCCAGCCGCGCGTGTCTCTTCATCTTCATCGCGTGTCTAAGGGACACGACACTTCCGAAGAGAATGACCATAGTCAGCAGGCTGATCAGGACCAGGCCCCAGGTGCGGTCGGTTGCCTTGAACATTTCTCCGCTCCAGATCTCGTAACAGGCGTTTTCCCAGGAATAGCCGGAGACGTTACTGGGACTCTGACAGATCAGGTTCGAAGCGACCACACTTACTTGCGATTCCATGAAGTACTTGTAAGTTGGGTAAAGCTGCTCGCAATCGCAGCGCCATGGATTGTCCTCCAGTTGGATCGCCTGTAGGAATTTATTATTCCAAAATAGATCAGGATCTATGCCCTCGGTTAAGCGATTCCCAGATAAGTCCAGATTTCGTAGGGCCGAGAGTCTAACGAAGCTCTCGTTGTTCAACTGGACCAATCTGTTTTGCCTGAGAAAAAGGTTCTTCAGGGTGTTCGATTCCAAATTGTTGGGTATGTTCTCTAGTCTGTTGTTGTTCAAATTCAATGTTACCAGTCGTGGCATATTCGAGAGGACATTGCTTTTAAAGTTGTAGATCAGGTTGGTCGACATGTCCAACCAAATGGCCTCTGTCGTCAGATTCGGAAACTCGTGCAATCCATTGTACGAGAGGTTCAACCGATGCAGTTTTATATTCTCGTTAAAGGTGCTCCAATGCACTTCCTGAAGAGCGTTCGCCGATAGATCCAGTATTTCCAGTTTCGTCAATCCTGCGAAGGAACTCTTGTTCAGGCTGTCTAGGCCATTGGCATCTAAATATAGCTGCAAGAGTTCACGATTCTTCGCGAAAATACGATCAGGCAGGATTCTTATGATGTTTCTCGAGAGTTTAGCATGAGTTAGAGCCGGAAATCCGTGGAGACCAGGTCTGTCCAAATTGCATCTGGAGACGTCCAATCTCTTGAGATTGATGTGCTGCAAAGTTTCGTATCTAAAAAAACAATATATTAGAACCTCATAGAAAAAATTTCAATCTTATATATATGTATTTCTTAACGTTTAACATGTCGTTCGAATGATGCATACCTCGTGCTGTAAACCAACGTGGGATTGTTGGCCAAACGCAATTCTTCCAGACTGGTTAATCTTTCAAACGTGTCCGGATTTAAATAATTTATAAGACAATTTGATAAATCTAGCCAACGTAGACTATCACTGGTTGGCCTCAATACTACTCGCAAAGGATTTCCAGAGAGACTCAGTAAATTCAAGGCAGGCAATCCACTCAAGGATAAGCTATTGAGTTCCTTGATACCTGACGGATTAATGAAATCACTGTTAAAGAATTATCGTATCGTTAATTGCACAATGTCTGTAATACGTACTACAGTGATTGGCATAGAGAGACTGCGTTCTGTTATTAGAAAGTGACGTCAATTCTTCTATTGAATTTTTTGATAGATGTAAAATCTTCAAATTGACCAAGTGACTTATAGCAGCTATGTCTTTGACACTCTTCAAATTATTCTCCGTCAAATCTAACATTTGTAATTTTTTTAATCCCCGCAGATCACTGGGTAAGGCAGTCAGTTGATTTCTCGCCAAATTCAAATATTGCAAATCAACCAAGCTATTGACATGTTCTGGGATCTCCTGCAGGGAATTGCCCGATAGATCTAAATGTTGCACCTGTTAAGCAAAACAAAAATATGACAGTAAAATGTTGGGAAAATGATATAAAAAATGCGATCGGTATTTAAGACCATTAATATAGTAGTAACTCAGCTATAGTTAGGATTAGATATTTGTTGATAATGACCACTCGAGGTTGATACGAGTATCGTTTTATGCGAATTATAAAAATAGTATTTATTTGATAGAAAGAAAAAATATCCTGGACCGTGCCAAGAGATTATTGTCAAAGACCAAAGTATTGACATTGCTTGGAAAATATATAATTTCGTCCAGGACCGAGGATAGGGAGCAGTGGGAGCAGTGGGAATTAGGGTCATGGGAGTTGGAGCATTACGTACCGAAGAAGTCAGCAAGATTTAAGGCGAAAGGAAAGAAAGAAAAAGCGAAGGATCTTCAGGAGCAAAAAGTACTCACAATGTCGCTAATACCGGCAGGATATTCCTGAAGTCCTTGCTTGGAGCAGGCTATAGTTCTGGGCAGTCGATCCAAGTAGCAGAGACACCTTGCAGGGCAGGTGCTTTGAGCATCCAAAATGGAGACGAGAGTGACGCTCAGAATAAAAATGACAGTCGAGTTACGCATATTTGAAGTCCAGGGAGCGTCATTCGCTCCTTTTATCATCTTCACCCACTAGCCGTCGATTGTTCAGTCGAGGAGCGTCATTATCACGAGCCCTATCACTCGTTAACATTTCGTTTACAGTCACTATCTCCTGCTGCCACGAGTAATCCGCCTGTTCCCATCCCTACGGGGCCTCATGCCTCGGCGCTACGTGTGTTTCTCCAGAGCCACGAGTCTTTTTAATTTCCACTTCCTTACTTGAGCCAACTTTTCACTCGAGTTTTACAGAACTCCTGTGACGCCTACTGGCTGGGAGCGGTTCCCCTGTAACCTGCCCTGAGAACTTATCTTTGATAAGTAGTAACGCGACGCACGCGGCCTGCAGAGATATCTCGAAAAGATAAACCGGGCGCAGCCATTAGTCAAGCCTGAAAGTAACGCGTGTGCGAAGAGCGCACGCTCACGGTTCGTTCCGAGATTCCAGGCCGGTGCGTATATCTATAGATACGAAGAGGCTCGCGTGTGCAAAAAGTCTTCGGATCGAAGGACAAATATGATAACCTAGTTGAAGAAAAAATCAGTGTGTCGTACGATTGGCATTCGAGACGAAAGGAGAAGTTGAGCTGGAAGTTGATTCTCGTAGTGGAGCACTCTGAGTTTTAATGGATGATACCGGTCGGTAGAGTCACCCTGTAATATCAGGAAAGATGGGATCGGAATCTCATGGGAATTTGTCCTCCCTGTGGAAAATATAAGACATTAGATAAATATCTGGAGTATCCCAAAGCCGATATTGAGCGGCCATTTCAACTACGTAGTCTAAGCCTCTCTTGGCTGACCCATGCGGATATTTTCCCTCGGCAGCAGCAGGCTTTTCTCTCGAGTGTTTTTACTCCCTTTTCTTATTTTTTTATTCCTCCTTCTTCGGCGCCGCAGAGTTCAAGACTCCTCGTGTCCTGGACAGACGGCGGGTTATCGATAACGGATTTACCAAGTGTACCCGACTCCACCCAAAAGCTTGGAGATTGAAAAACCCTTATCCGCGCAGGACTGAAGAAGCTTTTTCACACGTCCGGCTGGGCCAATAGGGGTAGGTCACACCCTCTGAGGGTGCGAGTGGCTTAGCCAGCGCCGGCGCTTAGCCTCCGGCTTATCCGGAGGGAGAGAAACCCTCTGCCGGCTGTTCTACCTGTTGAACTCAACCAACCCCTTCTCTGATTTCGCAAATCCGAACTTTCCATACCACCCACCCCCGTCACGCCTCCGTTCAACCTGTGCCCTTTGGATTCCCTCTTTTTCCAAAATTTCGATTCTGGAGATTCATAATACACAGCCGACAATTTATAAAATCTTGAAACGCACCGATCAGCACCTTAAGCTCCCCAAATCTTTGGCATTTCAGCAACAACTCCGTTCGTCAGAAATATTTTTCTTCCCTTGAAAAATGTCATATTGCTATAATTAAAAGTCGATCAGACTTCTACAGCGAGTTCAAGATAAAGATGGAAACTCGGCTGCTCTTCTGTGCCGAAGTAGGCAGCCCACGAACTCCTGAGGATATAATACAGCGCTATCTCGTGGTTCGGTTAGGGGTGGCTGCCGCTTGGCTATATATTTTTAACGCCTTCATTTCCGCCACGGGGACACCGGAAATAACGGGACGATACCTCGCGGTGTTTCAAGTATTGATCAGTTCGGTCCGGGTGCCACCCAACCCCATCTCCACCCTCTGGAAGCTGCAGCTACCGCTGCTGCTGAAAGTGCTGGCCCACCAGCAAGAGAGACACCAACCCTCGACCCCCCTCCTTTCATTCCTAACAGCGTATCTTTAGATATCTTTCTCGTCTTTTCTTTGGTTCCAAAGGATTTTCCTCGGGTTTCTCGCGAGACTTCTGGCAGCTCCAAAAGTCTTCTTCTTATTTACAGAAACCATCCAGAAATCCTATAGTTAACTCGTCGATACTTATCAAAAAAAGAGAAGAAATCGAATAACTCTCATTGGGGAAAGAAATCCAAATGATTTTTTTTTTTTTTTCATCTACTTTGTTCACCCTCTATTTCAGGTTTTAAACCAAGGGGTATATAAATAAGGGCTTATCTTCACGCGGATTGCACGACACCGCTATTCCGAATACACAATGCCGAATCATCCCTTCAGGCGATATGCTTGAATCAGGAGACCTAAGGGTTGTCACGTCTTTTCAAACGTACATTCGTAATTGCTCTGACGTGTTTACAAACCAAAATGCCATTTATTGCACCCCCCGTGTTAAAGCACCTACACGTATCTATAGGTACTACACTCGATACGCCTAGAGCGCATCAACCCGCCCAGCAGCCGAGATAGCACGAAGCATCCTCAGGCCGTAAGTCCATATCCTATGGATCGATAAAGAAGAAATAGAAACAATTTCTTGAAACGCCGAAAGGGTGCAAGAGTGACCGAGAGTTATTCGACAGAGAGTATCCTAAGCAGGAAGATATATCGGTGAAATTTGAATGGATCCCGGGTGCTTGTGGTTCAGTGCACCCTTAACAAGATCAGGCGAAGCCAGTACCCGAGGACGAGGTGTGCCGAGGGTCGGGGGTCACATCTGTCGCAGCTCCCAAACGGTAGACCCTGCGAGCCACCCCGAAACCCACCCGAATCCGGAGCTCCACGTGAAACTCGTCACCCTCCTGGCAATGCCGTATCTCCAGCTTCCTGAGCATTGTCTAATCGTCCTCCGGGTCTGGGAGCTGTCGGTGCGCTTTCAGACACGACAAATCCGCATTAAAATTCCACCCTGAATTCTCCGCTGTAATGTCCAACGATTCCTAACCAGTGTTAAAAATCAAGAGATTCGCTGTCAACGAGGACTTCCTTCGTCCCCTCGTATTACTACCTCATGGGATTACCACATTTTACCATGTGAAACCCTTACACGCGTCATCCCTTAAATATACCCGGACCCACTTTAACATACAGAATCGAGTTACCAGCGCAGAAAAATATTTCTTACTGTCGAACGGATGAGCATATTTCAGGATGCTATCTGAAGAGGTGTGTGGACCTTCTTATCAGGCACCTTACGAAGAAGCCAACGAGATGCGAGTTTGTAAGGGCAACATGCCAATCTTGCTCGATGCTTTTTATTGCCGCGATAAGCGGCTGCTGCTCCCGACCACCCTCCGTGCCCTTTTGACATGGCCATTACGTGGACTCGAAGAGACGCGCGGATCTTAGAAAATACAAATGTACCAAATGTAATCTTTATACGCTTCTGCCACCAAGCACCTTCGACTCCTCTTAAATGCACGTCCCTCTCGTGGGAACGACGGGATCCTGATTCTCGCTGGCTCTCGATAGCAAAGTGCACGGGAGGCTGTGCTGATCCGAACAGGAATAGCTGGACCAATTCGAAACTTTTTGGAGAGTAACCTAACGATAGGCAAACTCGTATTGGGTTTAGTTGGTGACGTGTCGACCAACTTTCCGAGGGTCTTCAAGTTTCCGGCACCTTCGAACTCCGAGCTAGCTCGGCTGTTTGACAGGATGGCGACTTAAAACTTCAACCAACCCCCCGAAGCGAGTGTCACCC